ACTTGTTTGTGTGAAAAATTTGTTTTGTAAGAAAGGTATAAGGGGGTTTAGTAATTTCCACTTGAAAAGGCTTGGTTATTAAGTGGCTCCTTGTAGCTCACCTCCCTTGATAGTGCAACTTGTATACTTAGACCTCCAAGTACTTAGTATTACACCAAAAAGAGAAAACTCTTTGTGAAAATCTTTATCACTCACTTTGCAAAATTGTTAAGACTTGTGCAAACCTTTTCTCTTGCAAAAATGAGTGATCATTCTCATGATAGTAGTGTGCATGGTAAACATTCTCCTAAGAGTCATAAAAGCACTAAAGATGAGCTTAGAAAACTTAGGGAATATATTAGAAAAAAAGAAATAGAAAATGAGAAAAATAATGAGACAATAAGAGAGTTGTTGAGTAAGCTTGTGGTGGTGGGGTGAGACTAGCAAACCCCATGCCAATGAGGGTCATGGGCCTTCTAAGCCTAAAAGACATGATGGTGAGGGGCCTTCTAGGTCTCATAGAAACACACATGATGAAGGGTCATCTCGGCCCAAAAGCCATCATTCACACATTCACTCATCTACAAGTGAAGGGCTTTATAGTAGTCACCATGATGATGGCTACTATCAAAGACCCCCTAGGCATCATACGCCTAGGCATTAGGGACTTACTTGTTCCTCACTTGAACCGCATGAATATGCCTCAAGAATATTGGTAGTGTTCCCAGACTAAAGGGATGCCACCTGTGAACACAAAAAAGACAGATACACGAACGTAGAAACACATACAAAACACAGCATGCACACACAATGACTCAGGCAAACAAAGGCATACAGCACATAGTACAGACACAGAGCACACAGAAATGAGCACGTAGAGCACACACACATAGGCACACGCACAGGGACATAAACTAAGTTGTTGATATAAGAAAAAGTAGGACAGAAAACATAGGAATAAAACATAACCTGAACTCCAGGGTGCGTCTTATGCAAAAACTAAAGAAACTTATTCACAACAGCTTTTAGAAATGTCCAATGAGCTCTTAAAAACCAAAAATACTGTTCCACAACATACCTGCCAACAGAAACAATGGCATATTATTAAACAGAGGTATAACATCATTTAACATCGAGCAAACCAATACAAAAACATCCCTTACATGATATTACGTGCAATAACAACTTTGTTATCTTTTCTCGTTGTGATTTCACAGAGATATAACACATCTCAAATGACCATGACAAAAAGTATGTATTCCTGCCACATAAACATGATGTGAGTAATAATCGTTTCAAAAAAAAATCACAACCAAAAGATAAACAAAGATACATGTCGTGTTCCCAATTTTTTTTAATTTTCCAAAAATAAAGGAGTCGGGTTATTCGGGCCTATATCTTCTCTAGTGTGCCTTTTATTAAAACAAAATACAATTACCTATAAAATTAATATTTAACTGGATTATAGTTTAATTTTTATATGTATTAGCTTTGTATACCATCTTTCATCATACTTTGAAAACACAAGTTTCAACAATCATAAATCATAATCACAACATAAGAAATAGACAACCATAAGACATAAATGTCAGCATCATCATACCTTAAAATCCTCGATATCATCTACATATGGGACGTTGATAAGACAATCAAGGCCCAAAAGCAAAGCAGCTGTATTCACTTTCCTGGATTTCAGAATTCAAAAGTTAACCTGCATAAAAAGAATGGTATCACCACACCAATAAAGATGTTAACGGGCATGAACACTAATCAAGCAAACTGAAAAACTATGAGCAAGAAACAGAGGAAGAGGTGCTAGACAGATGTGAAAAAAAAAGTAATTATTATGACAATTTAGCATATAACAATGTGGGTCCATTCTCAAACATGTCACACGCATGATATTGTACACATACACAAAGCATAAAAAATCCCAACTAGGTCACATTATTTCACCTGATCCCATGACATTTCTTGAAAATATACTTGCAACATACAATCACAAATAGACATAAAGTTGAGAAAACAAACCTGCCTTGCAAAATAAGGTGAAGAACAGAGCAAAATTCTGCATGATACCCTAAACAAGGGGGAAATTTTGTCAGAGATGCTTCTGAAGTAACTTAGTAGTATGTCCGGATTCAATTTTGCCATA